CCTGTAACTATTTGGAATCGATTCAGGGTCACTGCGTCCTCATAGTTTATGGTGGTCTAACCTGTAACTATTTGGAATCTATGCAGGGTCACTACGTCCACATAGTTTATGGTGGTCTAACCTGTAACTATTTGGAATCTATGCAGGGTCACTACGTCCACATAGTTTATGGTGGCCTAACCTGTAACTATTTGGAATCTATGCAGGGTCACTACGTCCACATAGTTTATGGTGGCCTAACCTGTAACTATTTGGAATCTATTCAGGGTCACTACGTCCACATAGTTTATGGTGGCCTAACCTGTAACTATTTGGAATCTATTCGGGATCACTACGTCCACATAGTTTATGGTGGCCTAACCTGTAACTATTTGGAATCCATGCAGGGTCACTACGTCCTCATAGTTTATGGTGGCCTAACCTGTAACTATTTGGAATCCATGCAGGGTCACTACGTCCTCATAGTTTATGGTGGTGGCCTAACCTGTAACTATTTGGAATCTATGCATGGTCACTACGTCCTCATAGTTTATGGTGGCCTAACCTGTAACTATTTGGAATCCATGCATGGTCACTACGTCCTCATAGGTTATGGTGGCCTAACCTTTCTTGATGACCATCTGACCATCTGGCCATCGTGGTGTTGCTTAGTAATTTGTCACGCAGTTCGCATGCTGTCTTTTTACCGACCTTCCATTGCTCATGTACTTGAAAATTGAAAGGAAACAAGTCTAGAGTTAGTCTTGTTGAGACGGACAAAAATGATTCTGATGATTCTGATGCTGCATATGTTTAGACTGTTGGTGATAACAGACAAGACTTGAGGGTATGGGAATTATCGAACAGGTGCGATTATCCTACAGATTGAATTTCAGCAATGGTTTTAATAAAACCAAGTGGGAAGTTCAGAGTTTGTCTGGATCCTAAACCTGTAAACAAAGCATTGAAGTGGAACCTTTATCTAATACCAACTATAGATGACTTGTCAGGTGCCAAAGTGTTTACAGTCGTCGATGCTAAGAATGGCTTTTGGCATGTCAATTTGGATGACGAGAGCACTATGTTGACTACTTGCGACACACCATGGGGATACCTTCAGCGGGATACCTCCAGCCCCAGAAGAATTTCCAAGACGACCAGAAATACATGATGACATGCTGGTTTCGGAGTTGGTGATACATTTGAAGAAGCTCTTGAAGACCATGATAGAAAGTTGAAATCTCTTCTTGACAGACGCAGAGAGAAAAATAAAGTTGAACAAGGAAAAAATCAAGCTGAGGAATACTGAAGCGTCCTATATTGGTCATCATTTCAGCAGAAGGTTTGAAAGTTGATCCCTCGATAGAGGAGGTAATTATCAAGATGCCAGATCCTGTTGACAAATCTGGAATTCAGAAACTGTTAGGAATGACCAATTTTGTTCAAAGGTTTGCCCTCAGTTGTCCGAAGTTACCGCTCTGTTACGAGAGCTGTTGAAAGCTGATCTCAAAATTCCAGTGGGATCCAGCAATTCATGGACAAGCTTTGAGTGACGTGAAAATCATATCTTCATCTCCTGTGCTCAACTACTTCTTTATAGATCTTGAAACAGTTGTGCAATGTGACGCATCTGAAAAGGGCCTAGGTGCTTGTTTAAATGCAAAATGGAATTTGTGTCTCGAGAAGTTTGATATATATGTTTATGGCCGTAGTGTTAATATTGAAACAGACCATAAGCCAGTTGAGACTATTTTGAAGAAGTCTATCCTTAGTGCACCAAAGTGTCTACAGAGCATGATGCTCAGGTTACAGAGGTACGGCATTCATGTGGAGTACAAGAAGGGTACACAACTATTCATGGCGGATACACTTAGCCGTCCATTTCTTAAAAAAAAATCAACCACTTCAAATGATAGCTGTAAGTTGACTGGTCTTGAAAAAGATGTACAATACATAAATATGGTTGATTTTGCACTTATATCTTCCACAACTCTTCCCAAGAAGTTTAAATCCGCAACCAAGGGCGACCTTGATCTTCAAGTGTTGGCCAGAATCATCAGAGATGGCTGGTCTGTAGACAGTTCTAAAGTACCAGCACCCTGGCACAGGTATTTTGCATTCAGAGATGAGCTATCTGTGCAAAATGACTTGATTTTCGAGAGTGAACGACTCGTTGTTCCAATATCTGTCCGAGACAACATACTCGAGAGAGTGCATGCTAGTCATGTCGGTATTCAGGGAGCTTTGAGGAGAGCCAGAGAAGTCGTTTATTGGACATGAACAAGGACATTGCTGAATACATCAGTAAGTGTGACACATGTAACTTGTTTGCTCAAAATCAAGCCCCTGAACAACTTCAAAGTCATTCTGTTTCTTCTCACCCATGGCAGAGTGTTGGTTCAGATCGTTTTGAACTAGATGGAAGAGACTACCTCATATATGTGTACTATTTTTCAGATATCTTTGAAATCGACAGACTTTATGATAACACTGCAAGTGAAGTTATCTCGAAATTGAAACAGAATTTTGCTCGCCATGGAATTCCGGGAGAGGTAATGACAGATAATGGCCCACTGTTCTCATCACAAACTTTTAGAATTTTTTCTGAAAGTTACGAGTTCACTCATGTTACCAGCTCACAGCATTTCCCACAGTCGAATGGGAAAGTCGAAAATGCTGTCAAAACCGCAAGCACTTGAGTCAAAGTCACATGCATTTTGCTCTACTTGATTGGAGAAATATACCATCTGAAAGTTTGGGAACTTCATCGGCGCAGACACTGTCCGGTAGAAGGACTAGAACTCTCTTCACTTAAAATCAGAAACAGTTAAATCCAAAAATCTGCAAAAATGTGAAAAGAAAACTTCATTAGAAAAAGAAGAAGCAAGAATGTTACTTCAATAGAAAGGCTCAACCTCTCACACCTCTAGACAAAGATGACACTGTGCTCTTGAAACCTTTTGGTAAAGATAAACACTGGAGAAAAAGGGAAGTCCAAGAGCAGGTAAATATCGGCCCTACACTGTGATGAAGGAACAGGAAACATATCCGTGGTCCAAGACCATTCCATTTCAACTCGCACCAAACTACACCAAGTACACCTGAAGTAAAAAAAGAAATCCTCTAAAATTGAGAGAATATGTGACATCTTAATTTGTTGGATGCTGTGTGAAGTTAAATGTTTTTAAAATTTCATCCAGTGACATTAATGTGATTAATATATGGATGTTGGAAGACTGAACAATTGCGTTCAGACATATGTACATGATAACAAGAGGTGAGGTGAAGTGGGTTTAACGTCGTGCTTGAGAATATTTCGACGTGCATGCGTAAGCTGGTTTTATAGTGCTAGCCCACTGAGATACCATGCCGCAGTGAAGCATAGATACCCCACTCAGACACATTATACTGACTCCGAGCCGACCAGTCCTTGTTGTACCAATTAATGCCGAGCGCCAGGCAGGGACCAACAAGTACCATATTTTAAACGTCTCTTGGTATGACGCGGTCGGGGATCGAACCCGCGACCTTCCGCTCTCCGGGCGGACGCTCTAACCACTACACCACGGAGGCGGTCCCATGATAACAAGAAGTACAGATATCTATAAAGACTTTCATTTTCATTCTCATTCTTAAATGCAAAAGTTCAAAAGTAACATTGCAGGTTGTGTATTTTTCTTTCATACCATTCCTTGTGTTAACTTTGATGTGAAGGAGTGGGATGTAGCGGTATGCGCTTTATGTGCTCTAGTCGGGATTACCTCCCTTGGTAGTTTGTTCTAGAAGTTCAAACTAAAGAAGCGACAAGTCGATCACCTCTTTGTCTGTTTATGCTCCTCACCAGACTTCTGCATACCATTGAGGACGCAACAAACTTTATCTTATCATAATCGAATCCCTGAAAGTATCTCTATGAATGGGTACCCGGTGTTTGCCAACCAAGAGAAATTCCTAACACACAGTGCCATTTAGAAAGTGACAAAATTTAGAAATTACACTTTCTCAGTAAAAGCACAGATTCTAGTAATTTTGGGGATGATTTGAAGGTGATTTTAAGAGACGTTCATGAGGAATCCTTGATGCAAATTCCTAGAGAAACTTAGAAGCATCGTTTTAAGTACGAAAATCAGAAAAGGAACTAAATAGTCTGTTCAGGGCTGTTACTATTTTTAGCACACCAGAATGAAAGCTTATTGATGGACTAAGGCTTACGTCATAGTCCGTTTGTGTCTTGTTTCGACATTAAACCTTGTCCCCTGTGTATTACTTATGTACGTATCATCCTTTTACAGTTGTCTCGAACTGCGTGTAACTCGAAGTATGTCGAACGTGCATTCAAATGCGACACAACGGTGTAAGAACTATAAAAATGAAATTCGCAGTTCGGCCATGCTCATAAGATACAGGTAAACAAACTTCATAATTCAATCCATTTCATGTCCTTGTGAAGGTAAAGCCCCAAGAAACGAGACTTATATAACAGAAACTTCACATGCTTGTAAAGGAGGGTGACCTACAGAAGCGCGATACTCATTCATTCGTTAAAACAAAGATAATTTGATCACATTTTAAAATAAGATTTTCTGCCATTTTTTCGTTTGAGCTTCCACTCGTTCCGTTCTCCCAGAATGCAGAAAGATGACAAATACTCCCCCACAGAGATGTTTAAGTTCTCACATAAAACTCACGAGTTCAGTATCTATATGGAAACAATGTCTGATGTCCATTAAGTACGTTTGTTCACAAATGTATTACACGACATTGACGATATCTGTGTTTCATTGTCCGCGACAATGGGTTAGATCGCCAGGTTTGATTTTCTATATGGGTACCATGTGTGAAATCTGTTCGCTATATTTGAGTTTTTCTGACCAGTTACAGAAACAAATCTGGCCTTGAACAGGCCAATCTCTAAAAGTTCATCGTTCAAGGAACAATAATGGGAGCACTGCTAATGATGGAAACAGCAACAGAAACTATGCCTCTGGAAGCTGTTTTGCCTCTGATGACTGGGACAGCGACCCTGGTGGCAGGTTGACTTGCAGGCTAACTTCATTGTGAGGAGGATCGAAATCACAAACAGAGAGGATTGTTGTCGTGAGTTTACTAGATAAGGATATTGAAAACATATTGACACTTTTGTTGCATTTCTCAGAGACTGCATGAACAGAAACAGATTCTTTCGTGAGACATTATACTTATCTGCCAAATGTCACGCCTTAGGCGATGAGACTACTGCTATTTTACTTATGCCACGCCCTCACGACAAAACTGAAAAAACTAAATAAACTGGGTGGATATGAACAATGAATTTTGACTACTTAAAATCAGTAGTCGGAGGTGTGTGTGTGTGTGTGTGTGTGTGTGTGTGTGTGTGTGTGTGTGTGTGTGTGTGTGTGTGTGTGTGTGTGTGTGTGTGTGTGTGTGTGTGTGTGTGTATCTCAGTAGAAGCCGGTAGTTCCCACTCGGTAGTGTAGTCCAAAGAGGGTCTATCTCAGTAGAAGCCGTTGCTTCCACTCTATGGTGAAGTACAAAGAAGGTCTGTGTCAGTAGGAGCCGGTGGATCCCACCCTAACGTGGAACCATGGTTGTCCATGCTGGTCCCCGTTGTTTCACTGTGGCTGGCACAGCAGGAGGTGCAGTACATACTTACATTTCTTCAAGGTGTTATCCTTGATCTACAAAATTATCATTCAGCACAATTTGTTGTTTATGCCCTTTGCTTTATACTACCGAAGATACTCAAAACCGATTAGATCCTGGCTCTGACATTTATATATTTATGCAGGCTTGAACATCCTATATCGTGACTATTTCATAGTGATTCATAAAAAGTGGTGAATAATATATGCTATTTTGTTTGTTTGTTGTATAACGCCGCAATAGTCCTACTGTGTGGTTGCAGTCTGTAAATATTATAGTCTGAACCAGACAAAGCAGTGATTGACATCACGAGTGTTATCCAAGACAAGAAGCGTGACAAACAGATCCCATTAGTCGTCTTCGTCGTGACGAGGGAACGCATTAACCCCTAGGCAACCCACCGTCCCCCTAACAACACATTTTATGACATTCTATATTTAAACCTTTTATTGTAGGTGACAGATTGCACAGTATTTCTCTGGAGCTTTTCGACGAGGATCCATCTGCTGAACCCTCGACCCCGGCCAAGCTTTGCTACTTCATCTCGGGCTACGTAACGCAGTCGACACTGACCATAAATTGTACAAGACCCGTGACTGGCAGGTATCTCCGTCTGACCAAGACAAGCCAGCGAAATTATAACGATTTGCTGCAATTCTGCGAAGTGAAAGTCTATGAAGAGTTAATTGATGGCAATTGTTTGTGTAAGTTTCCTTGTTGTAAACTATAGCGATCAAAATGACGGGTTGGTGTATATTACAAATGTGTGAAACTATATGAAATAAGACATGTCATCGTATCCCAATTTGTTTCAAAATACATGAAAGCAACCAATGCTTATCGGAAGAGGTAACTAACAGGATTGGGTGGTCAAACTCGCTGACTTAAGTGACAAATGTCATCGTATCCCAATTGTGTAGTTCGGTACTCATGCTATTGATCACTTCACGGGGCGAAGTGGAGTATGTTCTATGTACACATAGTCATTCTCGTCACTTGTGTGTTTATTTATGTTGTTTCTTTGCATGTTTTTATTTGCATTTTGACAGATGCATGAGATTGTACTTCTGTTACTTGAGGGGGGTGGGATAACCGAGTAGTTAAAGCGCTCCCTCGTCACGCCAAGAGCGGTTCGATTTACTACATGGCTACGATGTGTGAAATCCATTTCTGCCCATTTCTGATGTCTCAAATCGTGATATTGCACGAATATTGCTAAAAGCGGCATAAAACTAAAACACAGTCATTCTTTCCATTACTTGATGGCCAATATCCAGATGGTAATTTCAGGGACATTCTACACACTCGTAATTAACAGAAAAAAGTCAAACTTAAACGTATTATGTTTACTAACATATTAACTACTACCAAGTTAAATAGGATATTATACTGAATTGTGCAGTCAATATCCTTCAGAAAAAGTCAAACTTAAATGCATTGTGTTTACTAACATATTAGATATTGTCAAGTTAAAAAAGGATATTATAGAATTGTGTAGACAATGTCTTTCAGATGGTACCATCGAATTTCAGGTGCATCATTTGTACAAACGCAAGGATCTCGCTACGACGGTGCCTCCAACATTACCCAAGGGCCAGAGATTAATAGTGCGAAAGCATGCGCCGTCACCTGCAAACGAGTAGGGACCTGCATCGGCTTCAACATCCGTTACAACCCGGAAGTCACCTGCGTACTCGTACAAAATCCGGATCTGACTCTTGTTCAGGACGCTGCTTGGGACTTCTATTTGTACAAATCCTGTGCAAGTCGAAGTATCAGTGACTAGCTTTTCAAGACTTAGGGACATTGTCCACTATGGTCGACAGTTTGGCAGACTGTGGCTCAACCTGTGAACGTGTAAGTAACTGCACCAGCTTCAACATCCGTTACATACCGGAAGTTACGTGCGAGTTTTCCAGGATTTGGATCCGACTTTTGTTCAGGGCGCTGCCCTTAATTGGGACTTTTGTTTGTAAAAATTCTGTGTCATTAGTTATCTTGGGAAGACTCAGGGACATTGTCTGCCATAGGGGGACGACAGTTTCGCAACCTGCAAACGTGTAAAGACCTGCACAGGCTTCAACATCCAGTACATACCGGAAGTTACGTTCGAGTTTCTCCAGGACTGGCATCTGACTTCTCTTGTTCATTACTCTACTTGGAACATCTATTTGTGCAAATTGTACAAATTCCTTTTGTGATTAGTGTAATTCATTTAAAAAAAAAAAAATTCTTATTGACAGACAACCCCTGTTACAAAGAAGGAAATTGCCGCCTGGGAAGGCAATCCCTTTGAAGTTATAACAGAAGAGAACTATCGTTTCTTCTAACTCGCACTGGCACTGGCAACTGGATGGTAATGTCATAGGCTGATTTGTACATGTAGCACAGCACCCCTGGCACATTTCACAAATTCACAATTTTGTCCCTAACAGCTTGCCATACTGATGAGCTGAGGATAGACCCGTAAAACGAACGCTGGTTCTCTGGGAGCCTCGGTAGCTCAGTCTGGATGACTTCGGGTACGGGCTTATGATGTAGAGAGGCGCAACTCTGCATTGTAAGATCATATCCCAATCATGGATACCTTGCACCTTTCGCATCGGTTTCGTCAGTAAGGTATCAAGATCATATCAGGTGGGGATCTCTGAAAAGGGTTTCTCCCGAGAAGGGCACTCTCTAAAAGAGTATGAGTGCAGTCGACACAATCCCAGAGGGAGAAGGTGGCGCAACAACAAATCTTTCTTCCAATGGGATTGTGGCTGCTGAAGACATTTTGCTATTTTTTAAAGTAATTTTCAAACTTACATACCACGATTTTTTAGTACGCGCTGGGAGCTGAATTGGACCGACAGGACACGATGAGGGTTCAGTGGTCCAGGAACCCATCGTCTTACTACCTATTTCTTCTATTTGTACAATCCTCTTATCCATGTGTCAATAGCCAGCCTGGGAAGACTAAGGAACATTGTCTACGATTGGGGGTCGACAGTTTGGCAGACTGAACCTGTGAACGTGTGAACACCTTCACCAGCTTCAACGTTCGGTACATACCGTAAGTTTTTTCAAGGAATGAATTTTTCAAGATTTGGATTTGACTCTTGTTCAGTACTCTGCTTGGGACTTTGTACAAATCCTGTTTGGATTCATGTATCAATAGTTAACCTGGGAAGATTGAGGAACATAGTAGACAGTTTGGCAGACTGGCTGAAACTGAATTCTCTTGTTCATGACTACTTGGAACTTCTATTTGCACAAATTGTACAATTCAATGTGTCATTATTGTTATTCATTTCTGGTTTGTTTTTTTCCGTATTGACAGACAAACCCTGTTACAAAGAAGGAAATTACCGCCTGGGAAGGCAATCCCTTTGAAGTTCTATCGTTTCTTCTAAAACGCACTGGCACAGTAACGCATTCTCCCACTGTCAACTGGAGAACCTTTATATGTGTAAGGCAATGTCAACGTTTGATTTGTACATTTAGTCACTGCACCCCTGGCACATTCCACAAAGCAATATTCCCCCCGACAGCTTGCCATACTGATGAGCTGGCTGCCAGTAGGTACATCCTAGGCCCCGACACATGCTGCTCCTACAGTCTGTGCAGACAGGCGATATAAAAGCTGCATGTGCAATGTGCCTGGCACACTCTATGCTGGCAGTGGCACTTAGGTTCATGTAATTTTCATATTACAGGTATGCAAAATTGATTGAATGAATTGTTGATATCAAACAAATTATCGTACATCGCAGTCGGGTTCATATAGATTCCATATTACAGGTTTATTTGTTTGTTTGTTTATTTATTTATTTATTTATTTTGAGGGGTATATAGTTTCCTTACTACAGCTTAATGGAGCAATAAAAGTTGTAACACCAGCCCAGTGGCCGATTTTTAATCCTGCGACCGTAATGACATGGCAAGGGTGGATGGTTCTTCGTACTGTAAAACATTCATATGTATGATACTTAGCCCATTTTATGTTAAACTCAATCAGCGTCATAATGCTGAAGCATCTCCGTTCAAATTCCTTTTTAACGCCTGAAATGTTTGGCATACTTCCCTGACCTCTACATCAATAGACTAAACAATTGGTCATTATCAGTATAAATCCAAACACTGAATTTGTCACTATTACAGCCGAAAATAGTTCAGCAGAAAGTCCTAGATTGAAAATATGGTCATACATTTAGGTAAACCAAGAACGTTGGTCCAAAGGATTAAGGATTTTCTCCTGGGTCAAGGAATGTACAATTACTGGATTCTTTGTTTTGTTTATTTTGTGACTGAGTTTGGTTTTACGCCGCTTTTAGGAATATTCCAGCAACATCACGGCGGGGGACACCAGAAATGGGCTTCACACATTGTACCCATGTGGGGATTCGAACCCGGGTCTTCGGCGTGACGAGCGAACGTTTTAACCATTAGGCTACCCCTTTTGAGAAGAATCCCTTTTGACACTTTAATATACCATGGAACCCGAGAACAGTACAACATGGAACTTGTGCTGTACTTAAGAATCTCTGCTATATAGAGGGACACTTCAATGTACCTTGGAACCAGCACGCTTCAGTATAACACAAAACATGTGCTAAAATCAGAACCTCGTGCTGTAATAGGTACATGATATTTCCTTCAGTTAAAGAATGAATGAGAAGGAAATTGCTTTCTCCAGAGTATGTAATTCTAGACAGGGTAGGTGTACACGTCGATAGGTGGCGTTGCAAAAAGGTATATAAAGGTAGTAAGCTGTGTACGTCATTGTCGCATCACGTGCAGCTGATTAATTTCAAACTTACAATGGAGGCTAAGATCGACGCCATTTTGAAACATTTGGAAACGTCAGCGAGAGCTTCATGATGCTTTGGATACTAAGATATCGGCCCTCAGAGAGGTGTTCAGTCGAACCACAGATGATGTTGAGGAGCCCAAGGCGGACAAGGACTATGTTTGGTAGGGCTGCGCAATATAACCGGTTTACCGGTATTTACCGGTTCAGACGTGAAAACGATACGTATTGCGATACGCTGATCGAAAACCGGTATTTTTACATGCATTCGGAAAACTTCGTAACACTCGGAAATCTTCGGATATTTCCGTTTTTTGAATTGTTCTTTTCCCTGTTTCATTAGTGCCAAATGTTACTTACATTTTTATTTTGTCATGATTAAAAGTTTTTATAAAAGGTTAATCAATCATAGTGATTTTGTTGTGTTTTTGCTTAATAATCAAGCATTAACTCGATTATAAGTAGTTTTTGTTAAAAAAATAATCCTTGCAATATATTGCAATACATATCGCAATATATGTTTCCACGTCGCAATATATCGCAATATGAAAATTCTCTGCAATACCCACCCCTAATGTTTGGTCGAAGGAGGGTATCATGGTTCGGTACACTTTTAATGAAGAGACTATTCAGTGCCTACAACATGTAATCTCATCTATTCGCAACGATATATTGGTAGATGCCGAGTCCATGATTATATCAGAATGTGAACGATCGAAACTGAGACAACCAAGCAAATCAGGATCGCGGACTCCTCTGAGGGCGTTTGGGAGACGGTGAGGCAATAAGTTTCTAATGAACTCGCTGAAAATTCCTACGATGTTCGGGTTATTTTTCGTGCAAACAGGAGAGCTTTCACGAAATTGCGTCAGGAGCGGGGGAGATACGCTCCGTGTGCAAGTAGAGCTGCTCACATGACTTCCACAGTAACTGTTAGTTGTCTCGTGCAGGTGGCTAGCGTTTCTAACGGTCCTCAGCACATCCAGTCTGTCAAACAGCCATTTCGTACCTAAGGTCTGCGTTGGGGAGCATGTTTCGCCTGTGGCGAGTTTACCCACTTCCGGAGAGACTAGCCCTATACCAGTCAGTCGGAAGTAGTGCAGGCCAGTCGGGCCAGTGAGCAGAGACAGGATTTGTCAGTTAAGTATATTTTTCACAAATGTTCAAGTGCTGTCAATATGTATTCTGAAAGTCTTACTGAAAACTATTCTGAATATGAACAGGGAATGTGTGAGAGTTTGGTCATAGGTCGGTTTAAACGCTGTTTACCATTTTTAAAATCCATCAGTACCTCACATTTTCTGATCGATATTATTGAAAATGGGTATAAACTTCCTGTTTTAACCAGACCTCCTTATATGTTTTTCAGAAACACCAAGTCGGCAATACAGCATGAAAGTTTTGTGACAAAAGCTATGAACTGAAGAAGAATAAATTGATTTATGAACGTGATACGAACAAAAAAAACCCCCCACCCCACCCCCCCTCTTGCCGTCAACCCACTCTCTGTATGAATGCAGTCCTCAGGCAAAGAAAACCGATTTGATTCTCGATCTGCCGAAAGTGAATAACTATATTGAACTCATAGTGTGAAATATGAGGACTGGAAAGCGGCTTGAGTCTATATACGTCAGAATGATTTAATTTGATATACATTCGGCATATCACCACGTTGACTTTTTCCCATTTCATACAGATTTCCTTGACTTTGCTAGATTTTTCTTTGTGTTGCCAGTTGATGGTATGGTCAGAAATCACCATTGTAGAAGCTGACAAAGGAAAGGCAGCTGCAGTTATGGACACACGTAAGTTCCTGGAATCAGTCAACACCACCCTCAGTTATAGCTCCACCCACCAACTTGTAGACAAAGACTCCATCGCAAAACTGGAGCACAAGCATTAGAAACAACTAAAAATATGACAACCGTGGGAATAATGACAATATCTTCAACAAATTGAACCCTATCAACTCTCAGCCATCATATGCCCGTGCTACTGTCAAGATACAAAAATCACCAGAGAAAACCAGAATTCTAGAGTGTTCTCGTGGTCTTTTACAATACTGTCCAACTTGTAGACAAAGACCCCACCGCAAAACTGGAGCACAAGCATTAGAAACAACTAAAAATATGACAACCGTGGGAATAATGACAATATCTTCAACAAATTGAACCCTATCAACTCTCAGCCATCATATGCCCGTGCTACTGTCAAGATACAAAAATCACCAGTGAAAACCAGAATTCTAGAGTGTTCTCGTTGTCTTTTACAATACTGTGAACATCTGGCCAAACGATTAGCACCCTTAGGAAAAACAAGGTCAAACCTTTATTGGGGACTCATCCTCATTTGTAGACAAACTCAAGAATATTGACACCAATGGCACCATGGTTAGTAATGATGTGACAGATTTATTAAGCATAAGTTATACACCTCTCCAGATTATAAACTAGCTTTATGACCTTGACACCCAACTTTCAACAGACAACATCATCAGCAGCCTTGCATCGAGTTGTTTTGAAATGTCTTACTTCACATGGCAAGAACAAATTTATCAACCGTCACCCCTCGTAACCGAAATGTACATAACGAACTTTGAACAAGCAGCCCTATCCACATCGCCAATCCAACCACTAGGCTGGTTCAGAAAAGCGGATGACATTTTCACAATCCTGAACAGCAATGACGACCCTTCTCTCCTGCTCAACCATCTGAACAAACAACATCAACGTATTCAGTTTACGATGGAAACTGAAAAGCAACACCGGCTCCCCTTACTCAACATCTCCATTCAGAACTCAGACAACCAGCTCATCACCTCTGTCTACCGTAAACCGACCCAAACTGACCAATATATCCACCACCACTCCAGCCATCACCCCCAGATCAAGACAGCCATCATATCTACATTAGTCAGACGTGCCAAATCCATCTGCAATCCTCCCATCTCCAACAAGAACTAGACCACCTCAAGACCACTTTCATAACCCTCAATGGCTACCCGAGACAACTAGTGGAAACCACCATCAAGTCAACTCTCCAACATCAAGACCGACCCAGACCCAAGCCTGAACCATCCCCCATCC